CTTTTGTATTCAATAATATCGATAACTTCTCCCTTTAATAAACTTTGTTCCAAGAAATAATGAGTAATTATACTCTAAGATGTACTTATCCTAGTGGGTAAACTTTGAGTGCGGGATATCAAATAAAAATGGTAGATTGCTACACTGATTACTTGACTAATCCTTAATTAGTTTAGACTTCATATAGTATTGGATCACCTTCTATTGTTCTGAAATTAAATGCATATGTAATAAAGTCTATATGCACTGGTCCTACTCAGTTTTCAATTCTAATCGAGCCTGATGTTGCCGCAATAACATACAATAGTACTAGCATAGTAATATCTTCTTCAAACTCATCTCACAAAGGAAATTATCAAGTAACAGTTAAATATTATAACTTCTATGATAACACTAAATTTACTGCTTTTCCATTTCCTGTAAAAATTTCTTGCGAGTACTCAATTGTTGCTAATTTTGTTGGATTAAGCAATTATCAATATACAGTTGGAGATGGCCCTAAGGAGCTAGATATGATACTACAATATTCACACTATTGTGGATACTAAATTTCTGTGCAAGCTTATTTGAAAAGTTTGCCTGGCCCTATTTCACTCCCCTCTTATATTTCATTTAATCCTTCAAAAATGAAGATTACTGTAGATTCAAGTGACAATAATAATGCTGGGCAATATGAAATCAATTTTAAGGCTACTTTAAATGGTATTTTTGACTAATCAGATATCGCTATAGCTTAGTAATTCAATGATGAAGTGAGTATTATAATAAATCTTATTGAATTCATAACTACCACTACAACTACTACAACGCCTACAACTACGACTACATATACAACTACTACAACAACAATAACTACAACATCAACTACACCAGAACCAGAACCAGAAACTACAACTACTTCAACAACCACACCATTGCCAGACGCCACTACAACTACTACGTCAACCACACCAGATACATCAATCTCTACAACATCAACTAGACCAGAACCTGAAACTACTACAGCCACAACAGCTACTATTTCTATTACACCAGAGCCTGAAACAACGTGAACTCCAACATCAACCACACCATTGCCAGACACAACTACAACTACGACGTCTACTACTCCAAAACCAGAAATTACAACTTTATAGCAAGAGATCTCTACTACATAAAATAGTATAAACATAGCAACAACATCCCAAGAAGCTACTATAGAAACTTAAATGACAACTGATACACCTATATCTGAAAATTCAACCGAAATTACTTCAGTGTCTTCAACTAATGTATTGACAACAGGAATAAGAATTTCTGAAATTTCAATAGATACCTAATCGACAAGTGAAACAACAAATACAATAGCACCAACTGAAATATTTTTAGACTCAACATTAACTTAAACTTAATTAACTAACTATTAAGAATAATCCACTTCTACTGTGGCTCCTGAAGTAACCTATGATGAAATTACTACAGAAACGACAATAGAATAAACTTCATAATCTACATAAACTTCAATATCAACTGAGGAATAATCCACAACTGTTGAATCCACTTCAACATAAACTCAAATATAAACAGATACAACTACTCCAATTCCTGAAGATACTACAGACTTTTCTATGACTCATATTACTACTGACTCAAATGTACCAATTACATCAGTCTCATAAAGCTCTACTTCAGCACCTTCTACTACTGAAGAAATTACAGAATAATTAACCACATCAATTCCTATCACTAGCATATAAAATTCTTAGAGTCTTACTACTACACCTGCTCCACAGACAGTTTAAGAATCAACAACAGCGGCAGCTACTACTTAAGATACTCAATATTCATAAACTGCAACTTAAACGAAAGTGATAGTAATTACTTCTACTTAAACACCTTTGAATAATAAAATAAATATTCTAATGACTAATTCACCTCCAATATTCAGATTAAAACCATATAATCTTTTAGTAGTCGCTGGACAGCAGCTAATCTACCCACTTCCTTTGGTGTTTGATAAAGAAAAAAATACAGTTGTAATTGCATTAAGCTTAGATAGAAATTAGAACTTCATTGCTCTTAAAAATTCAAAAA